ACTCCCAAAGGGCACTAAGGAAGAAGCAGACACCCTGGTAACCCCTGTATTTATTAGAGAAGCTGAGCTGCGTTCAAAACCCCTTACAAAAACAACTCAAGGCCCAGGGAGCACAGCTAGCAAATCCCATCAAACGTTTACGGAAGAAGTAATACCAGTTCTAGACAAGCTCTTTCACAAAGTTAATTCCAGGCCTAAATGGCATTCCTAGTAAATCCTACCAAACACTGAAGAATGAAACAGCACCAAAACCAAAAAGAGATACTACAAGGAAAAAAAAAAACCTGCAAATGCACACTTTCCATTAACATAGATGAAAAATTTCTAAGCAGACTTTTAGCAAATAAAATCCAACAAATATAAAAGGGATATTTTGTGATCAAATGTGATTTGCACCAGGATCACAAGATTGGTTTAAGGTCTGAAAATCAACAAACGTAATTCATAATACTAACAAAGTAAAAATGAAAAACTGTACGATTATCTCAACAGGTACAGAAAAAGTACTGCCAGTCCAAGGTAGATCTTCAAACTAACCGCACTGAGTGCTTCTCCCCAGGCTCACGCCTGGCCCAGGGGCAGCAGGAAGGCAGGATGGGTGTGTGGTCGTGTGGTTCAGTTCCCTCTGCCTGGTTTCCGCAGGGGTGGGCTTGAGGGCCTTCAAACAGTGGGTTTCTGGGACAACTACAGCTGCTGTCATCTGACATCCTATGTCCTGTTCCTTGACAGACGTCCAAATGGGGCTCTTGGGGTGGTGGCCGGGGAGTATATTTATTGGGTTCCTCTGAGAACCTCCTCAGAACCCTCCATGCTGAAGTGTTTTGATGCAGGAGATACATCTATCTGCTGACTCGTGCGCCAAACAGTACATTGGACCATAAAGTACTTTTTCCAAGAGGAAGTAATAGATAGAACACCTGGGACCGGTGAGCAGTAAGAACTAATGGCAACGTCCCCAAGAAACAGGGTGGCTTTGAGTCAGCCAGCCCCAAGCACTGCAGCCTAGACAGAGTTGAATTTCATTCCCTGGGCTAAGGCAGGGAATCGCGTGAACCACTTTACAAAAATTTATATTAAAAAGATTAATCTAAAACGGTCTTTACGGCAGACACATTGGTAGCTGCAGTGATCTGCAATTCATCATCATGTGAGATGCATGCAGCCTGAATTAGCGACAGTGCAGTCGTTTCCAGCCCAGGGCGGGCCCACTGACAGAGCAGAATCAGAACACAGTCTCCAGGGGAGCGGGGGGCGGGCAGCAACACTCCTTGGAACTTGTCTGTTCCTAGATGCACATGGACCTGGAAGGGCCTTCTAACTTCTGCCTGAATCTGCACAATCTAAGACTGCAAACTAGAACTCTAAACGCTGCACTAGAAGTCCCTGGAAATGAGACCAAGAACACTTTTCTCATTGAAACCAATGTGACACAGTCATTGAAAGCTGAGATCCCAAGAGCATCTGTGTCTAATCTAATTTTCCTCGTCCCTCCATCTAATGAAATGTAATTTTAAATTTATTATATTGAAATATTTTAAAAGTCATTTCTATGGCTATAGGAAGGACATATTATGGTATTCTAATTAATTGTAAGTAAATTTGTACACCAATCAAGGTCTCTTGGGAACCTTCTTCAATTTTCCCACTAACATATTTTGCCCAAAACAGAAATTCTGTGAAAGAATAATTGATAGACACCAGGTACTTCACTCTGTATTACTGCATCAAAAAATAAGGCTAAATAACTTAGCAAAACAAACACTGAATTTGAGGACTTGGCAAAACCTATGTTGTGCTAGGTTTAATTTAGGATGGTCACCAGTTTCCTTAAGGCTGCAGGTTCCCCATCAAGTACTGAGGTACATGGCTCCGCTGGCCCCAGCACCTGCAGTCAAAATGGTATTCCTCGCGTGCAAAGCTCTTCTCGGCCTGCCCTGAACAGACGTGGTGGAGCAGGGGGAGGAGGTCCCCCTCCTGTTCTTGTCCTCCTGCCATCTGGCCCCCAACCTCAGGGGCTGCATGAAAAGAGAAATATGTGACCTCTTTCTACTCTTTCAAAAAAAAATTTTAAAAGAGTATGAGTTGACAGATTCTACTTGTGGAAATACATATTTCTACACGTGTGTGCACGTGTGTGCATGTGTGTGTTTGTGTAGGTATATTTGCTGCCTGTGCACAGAAAAACAAGCTGGAATGGAACCAACAAGCACAGGGTGGTGACGTTCAGAACCAAAAAGCACAGGGTGGTGACATTCAGAACCAACAAGCACAGGGTAGTGACGTTCAGAACCAACAAGCACAGGGTGGTGACATTCAGAACCAATAAGGACAGGGTG